TCCTGCTAGTCCTCGAGAGCCCAAGACTGGGAAAGCGAGTGGCAAGGGTAGCGGCTCTAAGAGTCGTGCTGCATCTGGAAAATTCGAGTATCGCGTCATCACCAGCTCCAAGGCTCCACCTATTCCGAGATCCGGTGGCACTTCACGTACGCGCAAGATGCCGGTTCTTTCCCTGGCCACATTCCTCCGTCGGGCTAGGGTAGAAGTTCCATCCGAGGGCCTTCGACGCATCCGATCTAAGTTGGCCAAGCTAAATTGCGACGTCCTTCGGGGCGAGCACTTGGACATGGTGGAGGCTGCGTGTCAGGAGACTCACGTCTCTTATCGCATTTTCGGGATTCTGGTGAAATTCGACTCCTACAGGCAGTCTCAGGGGTAGCCGGACAAGCCTGACATTCACATCCACATTCTGAAGGCGCGCTGGGACCTGGAGGCATACCTGAGCCCGTCAACGGTCGTCCCGCTGGAGATGAAGATGGCGATTACATCAGGGCCCCCTGGTCTGTGATGTTCTATTACCGCGTCACTGTGTTCTATTTCCACGAAGTGCGTGACTTGAACTCTGAGACCCTCGACGGAATCAAGGATTACGTGGATTTCATGCGTATCAACGCCAAGACTTGGTGGCCTATTCTCCATTGGTTAACCATCTCCTTCTTGGGTCGAGACGCTGCCGACGCGGACGCTTCTCGTAGGAACGTCGCAGAGATGTCAAGCGGCTTTGAGCCCAGTACGAGGCCCTGCTCAAGCGATTATTCGCGATCCCTGGGTTTCCGAAGACGTTACTCTACGAGCCCGGTCTGTGGACACTTCCGGTGTATGCGTGCCACTGGATTATCAAGGATCCTGAGCGTTCGCCCCTTATTCGTCGTGGAGTCGCTGACTACGCTGCTCAACTTGACGATTTGGACGGGGAAGATCCCATACGCACTCAATGGGCAGCGGCACACAGTGAAAGTGACATTCTGGCCACGGTCCCGGCATTCATGCACCCACTTCTCATGCAGCCTGAGCGCCGGGCTCGGAACGTGATTCCATTATCTGCAGCATCTCAAGCGTGAACTCTTTTCATCAGCTGTTGCTCTCCACGTACTCTGGATGTCGGAGTTACTCTCCTTTCTCTCAGTCTCAGACAGTAATTCGTTAGCACTAATCGATCTCCGTTTTTCGTTCTCGTATCTTGACTAGCTTTAACGATAATCGTTTGTCTCGACACTCACTAACACATTAGCAGCTCTCTGAGATCCTCGCTGAATCCAGGGAACGACCACTCACAATTCTCATAATCAATACCATTTCGTTCACACATACAAGTTCCTCGGGCTAGGCGTCGTCTTCGGACCTAGTTCCCAGGGTGATCGTCCCCAGCTTGCATAGCTTGGAAACGTGCTCTCGCCTTAGCACCCTGGTCGAACTCATATAGCAATGCCCCACAATTAAGTTGGGCCAGAGGTATCCACTCTGGGTCTGTGAATCCTTTCCACTTGATCAGATATTCTCGAGAACGCTTGGACGTCCTTGCCCGTTTAATCCACCTGAAATCTAAGATCTCTTCGACTTCATACTCATCTTGGGCAGTATCTGGTTCCCAACTATCCACGGGTAGCAAAGCTGCGTCAAAATCATCATCTTCTGAGACTTGTGTCTTTGAGGTCGGTCGCGTAGGGAACAGAGCTCTCGTTTTGAGGCGGCTAATGTGGACCCACGGGTTCACGCGGTAATCTGTGCCTGGGATCTTGAGCTTGACTCTGAAGTCGTCGTGAATTTCATCGATTCGGAAGGGTCCGTGCCGCAGGTGAGCTAACTTACGACTCAACCCCGTGCGGACCATGGGAATATACAACCATACAGAATCACCTGCCTCGAAACCTGCCTTTACACGATTCGAGAGTTCTCTCCACTTACGAGTCTGAGCGGCAGATCTCGCACACTTTGCCTTCTTTTGCAAGTTTTCAGCACACGCTAGAGCATAGCTATAGTCCCGTTGCATATTCCGGCGCCACTCCAAGGCCGTTCGTTCTTGGACTGTGGATGGCTTCGGGCCCAGCATTGCAGATATGGTTCCTTGGGCGTCTCAGCCGTGGACCAGGTAAAACGGAGTGTCCAATCTTGCAGCATCGAACGAGGTATTCAGAGCGAACATGAGACGTTCTCCATGCTCGTCCCAGTCACTCTGGTCAACTTCAGCGACATACGCTCGGACACATCGCATTACCGTTTGGACTGAGCGTTCTTGCTGTCCGTTGGCCTGAGGCCGGTATCCTAGCGTCGCACGTTGCTGTTGCTTACTTTTCAGGAGGTCTCTGAACCTAGCAAAGACTTTGCTCATGAAACGGGAGTCCTGATCATGTCTGATCATTGAACTCGCCCCAAATCTTCTGAATACGCACGCACTCCTCGTATGCCTCAGCAACTTCTTGGGCTTCGGTATTCCGCATGGGCTTGCACATGACATATCCTGAGAATTGATCTTGGAACAGCAACAAGTCGGACTCAGGTAGCTCAGTGAAGAAATCCATAGAGACCACCTCGAACGGATATCTCGGTTCGATATTGTCTGGCGACGGACCGAGAAGCGGTGGTCGCCCCTTGGCTGACGCACAATCTGTGCATTCTCTCACGAAGTTCTGCACATCAGCGTACATCCCGATCCAGTAGAACTCTGAACGTAATCGCTAAAACGTTCCAGTAGAACTCTGAACGTAATCGCTCAAACGTCCTGTTGATTCCTTGGTAGCCGCCTTGAAAGTCTTCGTGCGAGTAGTGTAATATGTCGGCACGTAAAGTCTCTGGGACTACCAACCTGAGTTCCGAGCCTGAGTTCCGACTGTTTGTTCCGAGGTCTTTCGGGGGTGGGTGTGCTCAGTCTGTAGAAGACTTTTCGCGAATCCAACACAAACTGATCGGAGACTTTCGCAATCTTCTTTACCTGGTTCCGTGGAAGATCTGACACATCTCTTTTTAGGACTTTCTTCACTTGCTGAATCCACGAGTCTTCGTCTTGGTGAACCTTGATTCTCCTCCAACGTTCATCCTGGTATCCAGACTGGTCTACAGGATTCCGAGGGTTTACATCCGCTTCCGCTCGTGACCTCGTCATTACCATCAATGCCTCAGCCGCGGTAGCTAAAGACTCAGGTATCCCGGTATCAGGACTATCCACCTCGAGTTTGACTTGATTCGAGGCAACCGTATCGGTCACATGGGTACCTGGGATTTCCGACGGCTTCATGATCCTTTCAGGAATTCTGGATACAAGGCGTGGATGCACTATCTCATCAGGATTCTCCAAGCACAAGAGTCTTAGAGGTCAGGTAGCCCGCCGCTTGATTAAACTCACGTTTGACATGAATCAATTTAACCGACACAAAATTCTTCTTGAGATTCTCATACTCAGCTAAGCGTCGTTGCAGGTTGGGCTGGTTACAATTGAGCCGACCCTGAGCCTGTTGAACGACGATTCGGGAACCACCGACTACCACAAGCTCCTTGACGTCATACTTCATAGCGAGCTTTGGTCCCAAAGTCAAACCGTGGTATTCAGCATCGTTGTCTGTCACACCTTCAAGGATGTGTCCTTCTGCTTCCACAACCTGCCACCCTGGCAGCTTCCACAGTATGCATCCACACCTTCCTCGGCGAGTAGACACCTTCGCAGCGCCATCGAAACTCAGAGCGTAGCCTTGGTAGTCTGCTTCCAACATTTCCAAACTCACTGGTGGCATCACCTTTAGGCGCCCCTTGGCAGGAATCAGAGTCTCTGCGACTTTATCTAAATGTTCCCTGGGAGTAATACCAGACCCAAGGATGGCCGCAAGGCCGTCCTCATTATTCTGAGTTCGATGGATTTCCAGTGTCCCTCTTGATAGTTCCAACCCCCACTTCAGATGTCGTCCATCTGCAGTGTTGGACACCAGTAACCACTTTAGCACAGCGTAACGCGTATACACCATAACTGGGAATTCTGATCCATGAGTCAGAGGTCTGAAAACTTCCAGAGTCCGCAAGATTGCGAGCACTTCCTT